AATGCGGATAGGTACACGTAAGAGGGGGCAGAGCATCAGACACATCACAGCCAAATAAGGAGTTGTTTATCATAAAGAGCTCTCGCCGTGGGGATGGCGGAAGGCGGAAACCAGCGCCATCTTTAAGGCGCGGCACACGCAGCTCTCCACACAAAGCTACTTCCATCAGTGAAACATACCTCCTCAGAGTCTTGGAGAGGCAAGTCACTAATGTCCTGTCTCCTTGCACGGGTCTGGGAAATCACCTGTTCACAAGAGCGGCTAACTTCTTAGCCTGTAGACATCAGAGAGGCATGATTAAAGTAGTGCAAGTCTTTATGATAACCTCAGGGGAGTCTAAGAAGCATGGCCTGGCATAGTCCTGACAGGTAAAATCTACTTTGGCCTTTGCCAAAGTTGGAGAATTGCCCCCAATTTTGCCAGTAAATCATTAGCCCACTGACCCCTTAGAGGGAAGAGTGGAGATTATCCAGGGGCTCCTATAGAAGCTCCCATAAGAGCAAGGTGGAACCCTCTCCCTGAGGACTCTGTTAGCCACTTGAGAAATAGTATCCCTTACATTTGCCTCTATTTAAAAAAAAAGCTTCAAAAACTTTTAAGAATGAGGTTGCTTGTACTTATGCATACTCACAGCTAACTGAGTCGAGCTTTACTGGCTGTTCCTTTGTTCTGCTCAGGCAATCAGGTATATATTTCTAAATTATCTGATTTTCTGTTAGAAGACTCACTAATGATACCCAGAGATAAAAGGCCATCTAGGAAAAAAGTCCAGATGAGGATTTAAGCCCCAAAATAAGTAAACTAGTTGTGTTACTTTTCTCTTGTTGCTGAGACAAAATACCTGACACCCAAAGTTAAAGGGGGAAAGGGTTTATTTAGCTCACAGTTTGTAGAAGTTTTAGTCCATAATCAGCTGGCTCCAAGGCAGAGTGGCACATTGCAGAGGGACCTTGCAGAGGAGAAACAGTTCATAGCAGACAGCAGGTAGCAAAAGCATTAAAGGAACCTTAACAGCGTCTTTCTACCCCTTTTATCTTATCCAGACTACTGGGATTAGGGTGGTGCTAAACCAATCAGTATACTGGTTTAGTAATCACGCACCCTTAATCCCAACATCATACACTCTAGGTTCAACCACCTCTGAAAAAGCCACCTATGACTGCATAAGCGTTTTGGGGGGACATCTAGACCCAAATGATTCTCCACCTGACCCCCCAAAGTTTCATGTGTATCCTTTTAGGCAAAAGGCATTTACTCCATCACTAAGAGTTGTCAAAGTCCTAACAGTTTCAACATTGCTGAAAAGTCCAAGTCAACCATGTCCTCTGAGATTTAAGGCAAATTCCTAGCCTCAAGCCCCTGTATAAATGAAAAAAAAAGTTAAACACTTCCAACATACACTTGCACAAAATAGGGCCAGGGATTTAGCTCAGTGGTTCCAGTGCCTGCCTCACAAGTGCAAGGTCCCAAGTTCAATCCCCAGTACCCCTACCCCCACAATTGCACAAAATAGACATTTCAATTCTAAAAGTTACAAACAAGAGGATGAAGAGGAATGGGGCCAATGCAAGTCCAAAATCCAGCAGGGCAAAAATTAAATCCCACAGTTCCAGGATTCTCAGCAATCGGTGGCAAGTTGTGAACTGCAAAGGGCTTGAATGGCTTCACTCGTACGGCACTTCTGGTGATGGTAGCTCCTGTGAATTCTCTTTGGAGCCAGCTCTGATCTCTCCTTGCAGTTTTCCTTAGATGATCCATGTTCCTGGCTTCTCCAAACTGTTGAGATTTCTACTGTACCTTCAGCTTCACTCCCACAGCTTCACACGCCGCCCTCTCAGGGGCACTGCCTGCCTCCCAGGCCTTCTTCCGAAATCTGGGTGGGAGCCTTCCTGACTCCACAGCTCTTCCATTCTGCATGCACCTAAAACCAGTGCCATGTGGATGATGTCAAGGTCTGCTGCCAGCTGGAGCAGTAGCCAGGCTTCCCTCTCTCTTAGCTATAGGGGTCCAGTTCTGGAGCATGGTTCTCTGAGGCTCTCTTCTCAAAGCAAAGTCTTTCACTTTTGCAATTTTGAGGCTGCAAAGAGTGGACTCCTCCTGCCATCTTTTCTATTCTCCTGTTCCTTCTCAGCAATCAAGATCTCCTCTGCTCTATCTTTGTAGGCTGCACTTTGGTTGGAGATTCCTTTCTGGCCAAACTCAAAATGTTTTAAATCATTCTGCTGGCCTCTTTGCTCTTGATTCTCAACATAAATCTGGCAAAAAGCCCCTAGCAATAGCCATGCCCCAGCCTCAACAATAAACTGTCTTGAAATTTCTTCTGCCAGGTTAATTAGTCCACTACCCTTAATCTCAGTCTCAAGCAAAGTCTCTGGGCATGAGCAAAAATGCAGCCAAACTTTCTGCCAAGGCATATCACACATTGTCTGGAGTCCAGCAGCCACTGCAGCCCTTCTTCCCAGCAGAAACCTCCTGAGCCTGATCTTTACTGCCTTTCTGGTCTTCTGAGCACTAACCAGAATCTCCTATCAATTACAGCCTCAGGCATTCTAGCTCTATTTTTTCAACCAGCATCTCCAAACCTTTCCTAACTCTTCTTCTTCCCACAAGGCAGTTCCAAACACTCTTCAGCCATATGGCCAGGTAATGTCACAGTAATGATCCCACTTCTCTGGTATCAAATTCTGCCCTAGTTACTTTTCTCTCATTACTGAGACAAAATACCCAACACCCAAAGTTAAGGGAGAAAAGGTTTATTTAGCTTAAAGTTCATAGAGGTTTCAGTCCCTAATGGGCTGACTCCAAGGCAGGGGTTGCACATGGCAGAGGGCAACAGTCCATGGCAGAACAAAGGTAGCAAAGCAACAAGGGAATCTTAACAGTGTCTTTCTGCCCCTTTTATCTTACCCAGACTACTTAGGGTGGGCAGCACTCACACCCTTAACCCTAGTGTCCTTGAGCCTAGCATTGCACCATGAATCAGTCATACATTCTGGATCCAGCCACCTCTGAAAAAGCCCCACTTATAACTACATGAGACTTTAGAGGGACATCTAGACACAAACCATAACAAAGCCTCATGCGCACGCAGATGGGGAGTCTCAAAGTGGGCGGGATTAGGGTGTGATGCTGGGATTAAGGGTGTGGATAAGGGAAGGCCCAACCTGGGTGTCATTGGCACTGTCATGCCTGCCCTAAATGAGTTCTTCACAAACAGGACAAAGCAGCAGGCCACCTTCAGCAATGGACAGGCTATTTCTCTGTTAACAGAAGACAGTCTTCCTGGCACTGAAAAGTCCAGCGATTGTCTACATACCTGTGCTGTCCTTAGACTCAATCATAAATATTTCACCCCAGATTCCTTAGCCTGTAAATACCTTTATAAGCCTAATTCCTTTCCCAATTAGTTGCTAATATCTCTCTTCTGATGTTAGCCCACCCACTCATGGATGCTAATAGCAGATAGCTGATGCTATTTCTCTCTCCCAATGTCAGCCCATCTGTACACAGATGTAATAAACTTGGCTTTTCCCAACTAGCGGCTAAAATCTATTCCCAATTTTAGTCCCCTGATTTTAGTCTCTGTTCACTGGAATAAACTTTTCTTTTCCTCACAAAAGCCTGTTTCAAACAAGTGGCTTCACATGTGCCGTTATAACAGGCACCACCCGAAGTCTGGTAGCCTGGATGGGATAAAAGGGAGAGACAGGCTTGCTGTTGCCTGCTGCCTGCTGTGTTGCTCCTCTGCTATGCCACCCTGCCTTGGAGCCAGCTGACTATGGACTGAAACCTCTACAAACTGTGAGCAAAATAAAATTTTCCTCCTTTAACATTAAATGTTAGATATTTTGTCTCAGCAACAAGAAAAGAAACTTAAGACAGGTGGCCACTCAGGAGACCAAGTTACCATTAGCTATTTTTCCCAAAAGAGAGAAAGCTGAGTAAAGTATCATGGAGAACAAAAATGGGAGGAGAAAAAGGCATACTAAACTCTAGGCTGCACTCATGGAACCTGAGTGATCTGTGGCTGGGGTGATAACAGGCTCTCTGGCTGCTTTTTACTGCAATGAGTGATTGAAAATGAGAAAGAGAAGGGGAGAGAAATTTGAGGTGGCCCTATGCGCCTCTTATCAACTAGAAGAGTCCCAGAGGCCATGCAGCCCCTGCCCCATTCCACATGGTGGAACACACTAGGAAACTGTTCCCAGAGCCATGAGGAAGCTTGCTGAGTTTCCCGGGTTCCGTTATTTTTTTTTTTTTAACCACCCTCTAACTCCCTGCCTCTCCCCAATAACCAAAAAGGATTTGGGCCCTCCAAAGGATGAAGGCCCATTCTGGGCAAGAAGGGATGAGAAAGGGATTGGAGCTTTCCTAAGGGAGAGAGAGGGAAAGAAAAAAACCTTGGCCATAGATTTGAAAGAGAGAAAGAGAGAGAGAAAAAAAAAAGTGCCCTAAAGGGCCTTCCTTCCTAGCTGGCTCTGCCAAATATGTTACCAGGTTTGGGGTCCTGGAGTCTCCTTGGTGGTTTCTAGGTTCTTTCTGTCCTGAACAAATAATTGATCAAGACAAGTCCAAATGGTAATAAGGTTTTACATTTAAGATAGATAGGAAAAGAAACAGGCTCTGCAGAGCAAACTTGGGCCAAGTAAAAGTAGAAAAGTAAGTATGCTCTACAGGAAAGAGCAGGGTACAGTGAAAGAACACAGTAGCCCCATGAAGCTTTTTTAAAAGATTTGTAACAGGTTATTTTAAGATGGCAACAGTTTAACTTTGATCACAAACTATATCTTTACTTCCTTCTCATGTAAAGATCTAGAATTTTTAATGTCACGTTTTCTTTTTTTTTTGGCAGTACTAGGATTAAATCCAGGGCCTTCACACTGAGTTGCATCCC